ATGAAATACTACATTTAGTAAGGAATTATAAGCTGAATAAAATAAAAAAAATCTGCTCTGAAGATAACGATAGTGCTGACAGATCAACTTCCAGTTCAAGGGCCCCCCCCCCCCCCCCCCGCAGAGCAGAGTGAAATTGATAAACAGATTTCGGAATGGTTAAGAAACAAAGGATATGCCTTTATCCAATTTTTCCCGCAATTCCACTTTTTGTTTAATGGACTTCGAAACTTACTTTCGCTTTGTAGATCCTTTACATATTAGTAAATATATATCAGAAATTCTATTTGACATAATCGAAACTTCAAGCTTACTTTTATAAAATTGCTCTAACAGTCTGCAAAAAATAATAAGCCGGATCCAATTCGAAGATTAAGGAACAACGCAATCTGCAACATTAACTGAATTAGATAATTTTAGCTTAGCTTATACCGTCCGTTATACATTAAACGCGCAAGCGTAAACGTATTATGCGCATGCACACATGCATGTTCGCACAGCCGTAAAGGTCTTACGCGCACGGTAAACGCTATGCATGTGCAGAAAGTTTGTAGCTTTGAGGTCCGAATTAACGACTTTTCACTGTAATAGTAAACTAAAAATTTATTCTGTTATTAGGAAAAATGACAGAAATTATAGCAGAATGCTTGTAGTATATTTAAATCCACGTCCAAGAAAGTAAAATCTTACAAAAATTTGTTCTTGGTATATAATGTTTATTTAAAATTATATAATACTATTTAATAATATACTGGTTTAAATAATATACTGATAACATACTGTTCATGTAAAGTTATGCTTTAAAGAAAACTGAATACATTTTTATTGGTAATATCACTTCGGGAAAAATTGTGCAAGATCTATAATTACCATAACCTGTAAACAGAGCTCTGTAGAAGGCCATTAAGAAAGGTAACTAGGTTAAAATTCCATAATCGGGGTGAGCGCCAAGCTTGGCAAGAGTTTTTTATTTGAAGCGATTTTAATTTGGTTGTGGTTTCCGGCTGTATGTTTTTCTTGTGGCAAACCTAGAGCTTTATTTTGGTAACTGTAAGAGTGCGAATTTAGTGTAGCCAGATTTTTTTTTAAATTTAATTTTGAAATACTGTGTTTGTTTTTAACAGTTTTACTGTTTAATATTATTGTTATATATATGTTTATATTATATTATATAAATATTTGCAGAAGGTTAAGCTGTTGTTGGTGGGAGAATGTTGGATTTCATATGACATGAAGTTTATAATTTATGAATGTTTTCATTTAATTTAAGTTAGTTAATTTTTTTTTTTTTTTTTTTTTTAGTTTTGTTTCTTGCATGTGGCAATCGAAAGAAGTGGAATATTTAAATCTTTGAACGAAAGTTGTTTAGTGTGTTGAATTCCAGGACCATAGTAACTTGAATATTTTAGTTAGTTTATGATGCTGAATATGCATAATTTGCTGTTCTGTTTATGTTTAAAACTGACTTTGCAGTGCTCTGATATGATAAGTGTATACATTTATTTACTCAATAATTATTTACAAGAATTGTTCATTCTACTATTTTATGATTAATTACATATATATAGGACTATGCTTTTACTTGCAAATCTGTTCGACTTTGTTTTACTCATCTAGTATTTTATCATCTCATTTTACTATTCTGTTTACATAATGGCATTTCGCTACTGCAAAACTTTTCTGTTTACGTTTAAAAATCATATTTTAGTGCACCTAAAAAATTTGCCAAGTTTTGAAGGCCAAAATAGTTTGTCGCCAACTTACCCCTCTTGTGGAATTTTAGCCAGTAAATAAAATAATGCTGTCAAAAGTCTTTAATCCAGACTTGTCGGGACTTTGGCGATTTCAGATTATAGATCATCAATTTAAATCTGGTAAGATGGCATGCAGAAATTATAAAATTAAAAATATGAAACTGTAATTTATGAAATAAAGAGCAATTATGATCTAAAGGGTATCAAAATTTACAAAAGAAAGCTTAATATTTATTTGTTTACTTTATTAAACATTTCTTTCAATGTGCTCATGCATAAAGCATATGTTACGCATAGTCGAAATTAGAAAATTGCAACCAGAAAACTATTTGATGTGTATTTGTGATATTTATAATGACGAAAAATTGATTTAAATCATATCGGAGTACATCGAGATGAAACACTATATTTAGTAAGGAATTATAAGCCAAATAAAATAAAAACATCTGTCCTGAAGATGAGAATAGTGCTGACGGATCAACTTCCAGTTCATTGCGTGCCGTGACATGCCCCCTACCGCAGAGCAGTTTGAAATTCATAAACAGATTTCGGAATGGTTAGAGAAACAAAGGAACTACTCTGATACGCGCCCTTAAGTCGCCAAATTTCTGGCCAAACATTTTTGGTGAGAAACTCCACGCTGCCATATTACTATCTAAATGTTTTGTCTACATTTCAAACTTTAAGCCTAAAATGTCTCCTAAAACGCGGTTTTCGCACATGCAAAAAACAGGTTTTGAGCACACAATTTAAGCTAAAAATCTGAAACAAAAAATTTAGATAGCAAAAACGTAAAGTTTCTAACCAAAAATATTTGACAAGAAACCATGTACACAGCGATATGTTTTAACTTAAAAAAACATCTACGAATGGCACAATCAGGCAACAAACGAATCTCTGAACTACGGTCACCTCGCTTTAATAAATTAACATAACAAAAATAAATTTCAAAGAATACCATGTACACAGCGTTCTGTTTCAACTTTAAAAAACATCTACGAATTGCACAATCTAGACACTACGCACGAATCAACAAGATAAACTAAAATAAATTTCAAACAATTAAAAAAACAGCAATAACGACAGAAATTCATACTAAAAAACCAATGAGCATAACATTCAACAAAATAAGAACAAGAATAAAATAAAATGCATTACCATGAATTAATGCTTTTTCGAACAGCAGAAATACCAGTTTCATGCCGCCACGTAATCATTATCGTATTTATATGACAGCCAGACGCACTATCCAGAAAATTCATACTATGGTTCACAAATAAATAAAATCACAAATCCCTACTTCTATCATGCACAGCCACTAAAAATAATCTCCCAGATCCTCTTTTCACGCCTCCAAATACCCACTGACCCTCAGCAGGATGGTCACGATATTTCCTTTTGTGGAACTTCAATTCAACAACTTCCATCATTTTATCTTTTCCCCCTGTCTTCTCAGACACAGAGCATGACACGTACCAACGAGCTCCAGCGAAAGATTTTTCAATGTCAACAGGGTTGCCATACAACACGCAATTGTGCCAAAAACCAGCACAGAACATATATCAACCACATTTGGTGAAATTAGGGCGTATATCAGAGTTGTACCGGAACAAGTCACCTCTCTGTCACTTTCTTCATGCCTTTAACCATTTTTTGTAGCAATTCCACTTTTTGTTTGATGGACATCGAAACATGCTTTCGCTTTGTAGATCCTTTGGCAGCTCCAGAATTGGAAACTTTTTTTAACATAATCGAAAGTTCAAGCTTACTTTTTATAAAAATTGCTCTAACAGTCTGCAAAAAATAATAAGCCGGATCCAATTAGAAGATTAAAGAACAATGCAATCTGCAACATTAACTGAAATAGATAATTAGATAATTTTAGCCTAGCTTATACCGTCCGTTATACATTAAAGCACATGCGTAAATGTATTATGCGCATGCTTAAACGCATAATGCGTTTATGCATGCGAAGAAAGTTTGTAGCTTTGAGGCCCAGATTAAAGACTTTATACTGTACTATATTTTTGTTCAGAATCAAAAAAATGACATCTTTAAGAAAATTTCTGTTTGCTTCCAAACTTTCAAGTTTTTTTCACATACTTCTGCTTTTTAACGGTTTGAAAATATTCCAAATGAAAGAAAATATATATACATCTTATTAACATAGCTGCTGCACGTGGGGTACTTTTCTGTGATTGGGACCAAATTCAGAAAGTATGTATGTGCGTTTATATGTGCATACATGCATTTCTGAATCTAGTCCCAAACACAGAAAAGTACTGCACATGGTCATCAAAACTCGCAAATTTAAGCATCTAATCTATAACATGTAAATTTCAAATATGAAATTTTCAACTTTCAAATTTTTTTTAGATTTATGTGGTTGCCATTATGACAAGAAAGTACCAAACAATTTAGTTATTGCTTTTACGTTGGCACATCCCCTCTAATTATTTTACATAAGCTTATGTTTTCATGTTACTTATAATTCACGTTTTATGTTTGAAAAAAAATGCTGCATGAATTATATACTTCTCATATCTTAGGAGTATATTTCTAATAGAAACATGATAAAACTAAATTTCTCAATTCCTATTGTTCCATTCGATTTTGTTGTATCTTCATCTTTAATGTATTGAAATTTTTGGGAAATTCTTTATTTAATATGTAATATATACCTCTAAGTAGAATCTTAGGTGTTTTTTAGGCATAATTTGCTGTAAGTTCCAATACTTTTAATTTCTTCTTAATGATGTCTTCAATTTTGTCTTACCAGAGTTTGACTTTATTTTCAAAATTGTGCAAATAATGATAAGAAGAAAATTTTTTTACATTTATATTTTGGTTGGAATAATTATTTTTAATAAATAGTTTGATTTGGTTTATTAGGTTACGGCAAAGCACTCGAGGGCTATCTGCCTTAAGGGAGGGATGCCTTCGTGGAGGACTTTTTAAGGGAAACTGGCTCGTATACACGTTACACATGGGGAAAACCACGAAAACACCCATGCAGCCAGCCCGTTCGCGGGATTCGAACCTCAGACCGTACTACCAGTGTTCAGCGATGTTACCGCTCGGCCGCTGGTGGGCTTTAATAAATAGAGTCTCTTCACTTGAACAAAGAGAAATTTTTTACATTGGAATAAATATTTTACTTATTTATATTATATTACTTATTTATTATTATTTTTTTAGTGTGTTGCTATTCATTTGAAGTATTTTAAAAACCTTGTATTATTTTAGGTTCGTTTCACTATGAAGTATCGACACTGTGATGGCAAATTAATCATAAAAATTACAGACAATCACACGGTATGTCAAATTTTTAATCTTATTAATACTAAGGAAGTTGGGGGGAAAAAAGAGAAAGAGAGTGAGAATTTTATAATTGTTGTGAAGTTCACTATGATAATTTCTAAATTAAAAAAAAAATTTCTTATCTGAATCTAAAATGTTTCTTCACTAATTCAGGAATCAAACAACAAAAATCAGCCTTATATTTTCAAAATTTTCACAGGACTAGTTTCGATGGTTTTACCGAATCACCATCCTCAGCTGCAAAACCGCAAGTGAATGAAATAGGATATTATGATTAGATAAGATTAGAAAGCCTGGACAAGAATAAGCAAGTGGCACCATCTGTTGATGAAACCAGAACTAAAACATAATTTTTTTAAAGGCCGAAGGCAAAGATGGATTGGAATTAGGATTGTTAACTAGAACAGAAAATATTTTTTTGAATGTAAAATGCCTCTAGAAAATCCAGTTCTCCAATGGAAGATGTTTTTTGAATAATTTTGGCAGCAGAAAAATTGAAAGTGTGATTTTCGTACCAACAATGTTGAGCAACTGAAGACTACTGTGTTTCCTTTTTTCTAACATATGCCTCATGTTCCTTGACGCGAAATTTTAAGGCTCTCTTAGTTTGGCCAATGTAAATTAAACCACACTGGCAAGAAATCCTATAAATACCCCAGGAATTCATATCCGGAATGGGGTCTTTGAGTATGGAACTCAGAATTTTATTGATGGGAGAATAAATGACCCGTAAGTTAAATTTCTGCAAAATATGTGCAATTTTATAGCTAATTAATGGGAAAAAGGGAATGACAACAGAATTTTTATAATCTCCTAAAACAAAAGTGTGCCTTTTAGTGTGTTGAGATGAGAATTTTTTAACTGCTTGATTAATAATGTTGGGTGAAAAGCCACTGTCAATAGCTATTGCTTTTAAATAATTTAGTTCTTCATCAAGGGATAGTTTGGAGGAGCAAACTTGAAAAGCACGGAAAATATAGGAATAAAATGAGGCTAGCTTTTGTTTAGTCGGATGACATGATTTAAAGTGTGGTGGAAGGCAAACCAATGAAAGTTTACGGTAAACTGTAGTACTGAAGTTGGATGTGTTACGTGTGATGAGAATGTTGAGAAATGGAAGAGAATTGCAAGTCTCAAGTTCAAAAGTGAACTGAATAGCAGGATCAATAGAATTCATTGTTGAAAAAACTTTATTTAAATCATCTTTATTACTTTCAAAAAGGGTAAAAGTATCGTCTACGTAGTGGAACCATACCGGGAAGTTTAAAGTTTCAAACAATTTTGATTCATAATAATGCACGTAGATATCAGCCAGGATGGGACTGAGGGTCTTCCCATGGCTAATCCCTCAGTTTGCTTGTAATATTTATTTTGGAAAACAAAATGTGTGTGTTTCAAACAGAGTTGAGGGAGAGAAATTAACTCATCAATTTCGATGCAAGAGAAATGAAATTCACAAAGTCTGGTTTCTAGACATCTTAACTCCTTCGAGCCGGGTAGCGAAAACGCGCGCTTATCGCGGAGGCCGGCAGTGTCTTCCGCGAGCGTCTCTCCAGGGCCGGGGGCTTTTTTGCTACTAAGCCTAAATCCATGAAATTTCCGATGTATCAACGCATTATTTAATAATGCTCTATAGAGTATTTAAACGACTTATGCTTTATAGATATTTTTATATATGTACTTTAATTACCTTATTTCTTGTTTAATAGCATATTTTACACATTTTATTTTAATTACTCACCATTTTATGACTTTTAACATTATACATCTGAAAACTAAATATATACTTAAAATTCTCTTTTCGTATGAAAAATTTAAAAACAGGGATCTACAGACAGTCCTACATTACATTCCTTGAACTCGTAATAACTCATTTGCCATTTTGGAGGATTTTTCCGGGAATGTGAACAAACGAAGCATCGTCGTCTCATTTTCTTATCAGTCTCTTCTGAACAAAGTTTTGGAAAATGTCTTTCAGTTAATCTTTCAGAATCAATATCAGAATTTCAGAATCAATATCTGAAATATTTTGCATCATTTCTGCTATTTCATGCTCTGTTAAACATTTTCAACGCTTCGACATTGAAACGGTAAAAACAGAAAGAATTCACGTCTAACAAGATCTAATTATTTTCTAAAAACTGAACTGTAAACCGAAATACTCAACGCTTTAGCACATATAAAACGTACAATAAACAACTACCACGTGCGAATAAAGTGCGATTTAAAGAGACGTCATAAATCACGCCATTCGGAAACATTTAGTTCCCCGTTTGTTTATATAATCAAAAACACGTGTATGCGAGTCATGCTTCTCTCATTTCGAGTAGAAGGTCTAATGTACATGTATCTGAAACCATATGGACATACAGTGCCATCTTGTGGCAGAAATTATAGCTTGATAAACGTTCCAAGGTACTGGCACAAATACGTGACAGTCGGTAGTAAACACAACAATGCTCTGGCACGCCTGCGTGTCGGCCGGTAGATAAGTGTGTTCATTGCTGGCACGTATACATGACAGTCAGCGCGAAGGGGTTAATGCACCCTCCACTGGAACATTGGTGAATAATGATTTTACATCAAAAGAAACCATGAGTAAATTTCTAGGAGAAATGTTTTTAACCTTTTTTACAAACTCTATTGAATTTTTTATGATGTAAATGTTATTGTCTAATAGAGTTGAAAAATCTAGAAACTAAATATTTAGCTAATGGATACGAGGCAGTACCTAAATTTGATACAATAGGGCGGAAAGGAATACCACTTTTATGAATTTTGGGAAGAGCATATAATCTGGCACAATTCGCAACAGATGGGATAAGTGAATGTTTTAAGTTGCTTGTAATGATTTGGGAAGATTTGATCGCAGTTTTTATTTTTGACAGGTCCCAAGGTAAAGGATCTTTAGGGATCGGATTATATGGTCCTTCGTTTAAGAGTTTAGTGACACCATCGATACAAGTGTTCTTATGCATGACGACTATTGGCCACCTTTGTCGGCGTTTGAAATGATAATATCTGGGTTAGAATGAATTTCGTGCATTGTAGCTCTTTCTCTCGCAGTTAGATTTGGTTTCAAAGGTTTTATTTTTGAATTTCACATTATGAGCGATAAGATGCCTAATCATTTCTTTCTGTGAATCTGAAACTTTACTGAACTTGAAAGCTTTTTTGATAGGAGATCGCTGTTGAATTTAATTTTATGGTTTAAGTGCGAAGAACATGATATTTAATAAATAAAGGTAACACAAAAACGTTAAAAAAACACCCCTTTGGGCATAATGATAAATCTGTAAGCTTTTAGATTTTATATATATATATATATACAAGAACTCAGACAGGAGTTTTACCCCTTTCCAGTTTTGTAATAGAAAAGAATTTGAATCAAGTATTGCTTCTCAGTAATCAGATGATATAACTGCAGGAAAATTAGTTTGCAGTGATTTTGAGCAAGCATGTTATTTTCAGTCCTTCCCAAGTCTGGTTTCGTACTGTAATTGCTTAAAACAAGTAAAATAATAAAAGGCAGGAGCCGATGAAGAAATATATTGTATTTAGAAAAATATTTGCCCTCAGCAGTGATATTCTGTTCAATGTACTTTCAGTGCAAAAGTACCACAATAGCCAGTAACTGATGTTTCCATAATGTAAGATTGTTAATGGCATAAAATCATAACATCCTGGTTAGTGAGACATTGGCTCTTCAAGAAGTGATCCAAATGATGAAATTTATGTAAATATGAATTAATGTGAACTCATTACCCTCCACTTATGAATACTGATGATAGAAAGACCTCATACTTCAAGGCATTGATTTTTTGCATGTTTCTAATAGGTATCTACGGTAATCCTTATGTTAGAGAAGTATGGAACCCAAATAACGGATAAGCAGTTATTGGTTGCATAATTTTTGTTGAAATCCATTCAGCTGATGGTAGTGCATATCACTTGTGATAAATGCCCTTATGCAAAAAATTGTAATACACTGTAGTCTTGCCAGCCCATGGTTCAGAGACCTGCAGGTCAGGTTTAGACATTTATTTTGGTAGTTTCTCTTTATTGAGGCATTGCACTCTTCACTTTTTGTTGCCATAAAATATTCATTTATCATCAGTTGTGAAGGTATAATACAGAAATGGAAAAGAGGTAACTGATAATAATTATTTTACTACTATTCATTTCTTAAAATATTTTAACACTTTGATCCATTTCAAGCCAACTTTGATCACTTTTTTTTTTTTTTTTTTAAATTCTTCTTTCACATTCTTGTTGAGGATATATATCGCATTTATCACATTTGATGAATTACTTATTGAAATATATAATGAGGCACTGATTTATATTAGTCGTTTGAAAAAAATTTACGGAATTTTTACATCTTGATATAAATATTTTGTTCACGTATAATTTTACTACTTCTGTTTTAAATTTGCTATTATCTTTTCAGTGCTTGATGTATCTGACTGAACATACTCAAGATGTGAAAAAGATAGAAAAATTAACAAGTCAATTGATGAGGCATATGGCTTCTAAAGAAAAATAATTCTGATGCTCAGAATCAATGTATTAAGAACTTTATTCTTTTGTGCAGAAATTTGTACATATTTTTTTTTTCAAAATGATTTGTAATAAAATTTGTTAAACCAATTTATACTTATACACATGAACAGTTCATTTTTCTGAAAGGGGTATTTTCTGTCTTCATTTTGCACCATCAAGATCATAAATCAAAATTTTATTCTCCAAGAAGGAGCTTTTTTAATCTGTATAAACCCATAGCTGCTCTTGTTATATAATGTGGCTGTTTTCATGACTATCCTCATTCATTCATGTATTTAGTCTTGTATATTAATTTATTATGCATTTTTTATACTTTAACGTTAGAAAGTTAGTTAGATTTAATTAAAAAAGAAACAAATGTCTTGAATCATTGAAAAATTCTAGAAGTCAAATGCTTATCAAGCATTGTGTGACCATACATCTCTTTATAAAAGTAAAATGTGTATAAAAATATATATATACTTTTATAATTATGTTTTATATAGTGAAATTATATCAGTTTTCAACAGGTAAATTAAACAGAATAATTCTTGTTTTATTTTGTAGTTCACATTTTAAGTAGAAAATATTGCCTTATATACTCTACACCCCCAGAAAGAAAAAAAAAAGGAAAAATTCTAAATCTGTTCTACAGAGCCGATTGACGAAATTTAACTTGCGTTTTTCATATCTCAAAATCATGGCTTAGGATTATATTAGATTTATATATATAATATTCTAACAGGTATTTTGTCTCTAAATCGGACTTTTCCTGAAATGGCATACCGATTTCTGCCCCCCCCCCCCATATTTTGATTGTATGTCTCAAATTATATCAAAGTGCCAAGTTTTGTAAAAAATCACTCAAGTAGCTTTTAAAAAATTACCTCTTAAAATTTTATACTTGAATTTGGTATATATTTATTAATATCTATTTTTTTATTATTAAACTTACTTGATTCCTTCTTTCACAGTTTGAAATTTAGTTTCAGTTCAAATGAAATTTGCATGTATTTTTGAATTATAACTGAGCAAAAGCTTGCCATCAATTTCTTGGCATACCTGCAAAAAATTAGTTTTTTATTTAAAATTTCCCAAGATATAAGTGAATTTATGTATTAGTGGGTTTTGAAATTTGGCATATTTGTTATAAGTGATAATGACGGAAAATGTGATTTACGTGTTTTGCTGCAATCTTCAATGAATTGCAACCTGTTATTTTGAACTTTCAAATTCCCCCCCCCCCAGAAAAAAAAACCTTTTACTGAGGGTTATTTACTTGGTATTTCTTTAGTCTCATTTTTGTTAATAAAGCCTAATAAAATACTTTTTTTTTTCTTTTATAAGCGTATATTATTACCTGTGCCATATTATCATCTGCTGATTTATTTCATTTTATATGCAACGATATATATATATATATTTAATTAACAAAATTCTCTATTGTAAAAATTAAATGAAATAAAAGGCAACAAAAGGATTAATTATTGTGACTAATCTACAATATCATGAATAAATGTAAAATTTAAATTCCAAATATTATTTAATCCTAAAAAATTTTATTTATAAAAATGCAGGTACTATTCCATTTTGAGGACCGTAAAAAAATTGCAGTGAACATGTATGCGCAAAAGCGCCAAATCTAGCAAACGCGCTGATTTCAGATTGCTTAAGTTTATATAGTTCTATATTTCTTAAGACGCCATTGAAATACAGTCAAAAGTCGTTAATTCGGACACCCGTAATCCGGAATGATCTATAATCCAGACCTCAAAGCTAAAATCTTTCTGCGCATGCGCCGCATTGATGCATGCGCATAGGCGTTTTACTCGTGCGCGCAAGACATTTACGACTGCGCAAGTTTTCGCGTGCGCGTTTAATGTATAACGGACGGTATAAGCTAAAATTATCTAATTATCTATTTCAGTTAATGTTGATAATTGCGTTGTTCCTTAATCTTCGAATTGGATCCGGCTTATTATTTTTTTGCAGACTGTAAAGACAATTTTCTAAAAGTAAGCTTGAACTTTCAATTATGTCAAATAGAATTTCCGATGCTGGAGCTCCCAAAGGATCTAGAAAACGAAGTATGTTTCGATGTCCATCAACAAAAATGGATAAAAGCATATCCTTTGTTTATCTAACCGTTCCGAAATCTGTATATCAATTTCACGCTGCTCTGTGCGGGGGGGGGGCTCGCGGCGTGCAATGGACTGGAAGTTGATCTCTCAACACTATCGTATCTTCAGGGCAGATGTTTTTATCGGCTTATAATTCCTTACAAATGTAGTATTTAATTTCGATGTACTCCGTCTTGATATGATTAAATCAAATTCCACGTCATTATAAATATCACGAATACAAATCAAAGTTTTCTGGTTGCAATTTTCTAATTTCGGCTTGCGTAAGGTATGCTTTACGCATCCGCGCGTTTGAAAGAATGTTTAATAAAGTAAACAAATAAATATTAGGCTTCTTTTTTTTGGTAATTTTGATACCCTTTAGATCATAATTGCTCATTATTTTATAAATTTCGGTTTCATATTTTTAATTTTATAATTTCTGCATGCCCTCTTACCAGATTTAAACTGATGATCTATAATCCGGAATCGCCGAAGTCCCGACGAGTCCGGATTAAAGACTTTTGACTGTACTAGTTTAATTTTTAAAACCTTTTTTGATATTCTATGGATTTAACAATTTGGGAATTGCCCATGACGAAAAGTCTGCAATAGCATTTTGAGTAAAGTGCAGAACCACCCTTTGCTTGTCATGTTTTTAAGAATTGCACATACTCGGTATCCATGTATACATCGACCTATTTTCACGTTAAAAAATCCTAGATTTGCACAAAAATGGCACTGTGCACACCCTTTATATATGTTCACATCGACCTATTTTCACTTAAAAAGTAAAAGAAAATTGACAAAAATCCATGGAAAATTATGTTTGAACAACCAACAAAATTATGCTTTAGCGATAACTCGGTAGCGGAATAGCGATGCAGGCATCCATTCAGTTATGTTTAGGAATTTTTATATAAATTATAATAATGATCTGAAATAGTTTTTTACTCTTATGCTCCCATTGAATCATGTTTAGCCTTTTTTATATAAATTATAATAATAAAAAAGTATTATATGAAATTAACCTTTCATCTAAATTAAACATCAATCATACATATTTATTTACTATTATACTCCCTTTCTTGCGTTATGGTTGCCGCAATTATTTTTGGCAGCACTGGCATCAGCAAGAGTTTGGCAATTTTTTACAGCCCTCAAAACCGAATAGTACCAAAATGCAAAAGTGAATGATTGTTAAGCAGGCAGGAGACAGACTTATCAAGGGAAAGTTGCCTCCAAACCTAACTCTTCAATCTTTCAATTCGTGTTTAAGGGATAATCTTGTAAATATTTATTGTAAAAATTTGTAAATATGTATATTTAATCAATACTGGATTCTTTGCTTTTACTAATAAAGGGCCAACTCTTTTCAAAAGTCTCAATTGTATCCCGAATTGAGTGAAGATTATTATCTTTTTCTAATTTTCCTTACTTTTGGCGAGTATTTAGTAAAGTTTTGATTAAAACAGATTACAGTCTTAAAAAATTTAGAATTTTTAAATATATTTCTTTCTTTAAAATATAACATTAAAAAAAAATTTTTTTATATTAATTAAAATTAAATTTTACGTCATAATAATTTTATTCATACTTTTTTTCAAAAACATTTTCAATTTTTACATCCTTAATATTTTACATTCCTTAATAGTTTGCAACATTTTTTCACATAACGTTACACTTTGCATTTTACAATTTTTTTACACATTTTTACAACAGAACATACATTTTACATTACTTAAAAGTTTACAGAATAGGTTTTTTTTAAATTCATCACAGAAAGCAGCTTTACACTCAACTTAACCTTACATTAGCGCCCTCTATTTAAAATTTGCAAAACACACTCTTAACATCACTTAGTTTGGCACTGCTCCACTCCCCAAAAAGAAATATAGTTGGTAAGTTAAATTAAAACTTACTATTTACTTGCCTTTTTAGTATTATTTAAGTATAATTTATGTATTATTTTTTATAGAAAATGTCTAGCTTCATTTTAATTTATATTCATAATTCGTGTCGGGGAAGTTTCTGTAGGCAAGATTAAATCCATAGAATATCAAAAAAGGTTTTAAAAATTAAACTAGTACAGTCAAAAGTCTTTAATGGTCTTTGGTTTTCTACTCTTATTTATTAATTTCTTCTTTTTAGTTCTTGTCTTTTAATCTCAAAATTCCACTTGTTTAAATTTCTTTTTAGTAATTCACTACATTTGGTATTACTTTTGGTTTTGACTTTTACCCTTGTCTACATGGATGACGAAACACAAATTAAATAATTGAAGAGTTAGGTTTGGAGGCAACTTGCCCTTGATAAGTCTGTCTCGTGCCTTCTCAACAATCATTCACATGCATTTTTATAAATAAAATTTTTTAGTATTAAATAATATTTGGAATTTTAATTTTATATCTATTCATGTTTTCATACTTGCACTTGATTTACATATGCTCTCAGAATTTAAATGATATTGTAGATTTGTTCGCAATAATTAATCCTTTGTTTGTTTGCATTAATTTTAATTAAAATTTGCTTTTTACAAATAGAGAATTAGTTCGCTTAATGTTCTTGGAATCTAAGCTAAAGACGGGGTGATAATATCTTATAAGCTAGAGTGTCAAAATAATGTTTCAATTTTAAGTGTTTAGCTGAGTTGTTGACTTAAATAGCTGAGAATTAAGCAGGTGATATTTAACGTTATTCAGTCAAAAACCATTCTACTGCACAGTAAAGAATCTTTCCACCAATATCAGTAACCATTTAGCAGAGCCGCTGTGTTCTCAATATAAGTATATTTAAAACTACTTATTCATCCCACGTGTTCTCCAGATTTGTCTCCTTGGGATTGCTTTCCTTTCCCAAAAACTAAAGTTATCTCTCAAAATTGTTTTTCACATGGAAGAGCCAAACGTAATCTGCCCTAAGAGGCATGTCAGAAACAACTCTCTATAAACCTTCTCTTTCATTACCTGTCATACTTGCATTTAAGGCAGAAAATTGC